GGTCCATCTTATAAGGGTGCCGTACTAGATTGGGGCTCATAAAAAAGGGACCCTAATTTAGAGAACTACTTATATGGGCTCCCAGGGTTGGGGTTTATGGCACTTTACGGTACTATAAGGCCACTAGAAGGGTACTATAAGGGCTCTTCGATCTATACGGCTGCTATGGGCGTACTTTCCATGACACTGGCAGTAGCCTCGGGGATTGGCCCAAAATTGACTAGGCGCAAACGTTGATGTAAGGATCCTGCAAAGAGAAAGGCCGCTCCCACGAGTAATCCCCAACAGTTGCACCTTAATGTAAGTAGCTCCGCATACACCCACCAAAACCCTCATGGTAAACCCTGCTAGAGCATAACAGCCATATAGGTATAAATATGCTACAACACTTGTGGAAGCAGCAGAAAGAAGTAGCTGTACGTACAACCTTGCTTCTCCATGTCATGGCTAGTCCATACAGTCTGCACACCTCCCACGTCCCGCCAGACTCGGTGGCCGCCGTTGGAAAGCAGCACCTGGCGAATCAACAACGGGCAGGAACCCGCAAAACAAGGCGGACCTTCTGTACGGCATCATAAGGGTTCGTTGGTATCGCGCTGCTTCTAATTCAACACAACTTGTGCTGCACACGTGCTGCCAAGCCACCGGCAAGCTTTCGTACAGGCACAGGGCCCGCTCCTTAGTGTTTACTGTAATTAGTTCACTACCCATTAAGCTGCAAAGCATGACCACAGGACATCTTTGCAGCTGTTGCAGCCTTGGGGCGAAGCGCAGGTCAAGCCACCGGTTTGGAGGCCACCAGCCATTGGTCTCCGGCGACCAGGTCTCTGCCAAGCATACCTGCTGCAGCTCTTCACCTTGGGCTTTGCTTTCTCAGTGTTGCGCTCCATTCCGACTCGATGAAGATCGGACTGACTGACTGACTGATTCCGTGGGTCTAAGCGGGAGACGACAATCCACAAGGGCAGGTAAGTTCAAACCCAAAACCTGCAACAAGCACAACCGCTTGTCTTGGTGGTGGCGGGCGGCGTTCACAGCACAATGCGTGCGCATGCAAATGCAAATTGCAACGGAATGGTAACATAATGGTCATGTAATGGTAGCGCAATGCAACACCATTGAAATGGAAGTCGATGCAACATTATGCACACATAAACACAAACACATGTGCATATACATGCCTCTGTATATATATATATATACACAGATATACATATGTCTATATGTAAAAATCTGTATAATTATAGACATGTGTGTGTGTGTGCCTGTGTGCGGCTCTGTGTGTGAGTGATTTTGCCTAGCTTATCAACTCATGTACTTGTTTGTTCAGTAAGTATTTTACGCAGGTAAGAAGCACAGGCGTGCTGCTGCAGATACGGAGGTGAACGGCATGTCACGGAGATGTCGCTGAGGGTGGCACAGTCCGCCTGGAAAAGTGGCTCCACTTCCGGCTCCCGGATGAGGTCCTTCATTACTCTTCGCTCTTGCACCTTCGCACTTGTGCCTCCTACTTGCGAACAAGGCACTACATAGACGAAGCCATCCCTGAAGTGGCACGAGGGTGCTTCATGACCCTGTCATTGACTACGAACTCTGATGTTGAATGTCAGGGGTGGGGAAGCACGTGCAAAGCGCAGTAAGGTCTGCACGGGCCGCCGTGGCACGCGGCCTCCACCTGCAAGCAGCTCTTGCAAGGTGGCTGTTCTGTTGAGATTGTTGCTGCGACAGGCTGAGGGGACCTTAAGTCAATCCAAATGTTGCAGCACCTGCACATGACATTCCCGTGCACTTACGCCCTCCATGAAATTCAAGAACGCGCAAGTTGGCCGGAAATCCCTGAAAGCTTGAGGCACCTCTACAATGATTACAGAAGCAAGCAGTCTGCGACGAGCTTCCAGTGACTCCAGTGGTTACAGTGCAGCAGAAATCCACATTCGCAAATCCTGAACCGCTCCGAACCCTAAACCCCTGCCTGCTCAAAGTCGATGGGCAAGTGTTTTGCCAGAAGTGCATTCACTTCGGTCAAACTGCCAACCCTCGGAAGTAGGACACAGGGAGCCCGGAGCAGAAGGCTCTTCCGCGTGTTTGTGGAATACTCGGCTTGCTGATGTTGTCTGTATGGTCTTACCAGGTTTCTACGAGCAGCAATCTCAACATAATGGTTCGCCTTGCACGGCTCTGCAGTTCACGGCTCCGCCTAAAACCTAAACCCTAAACCCATTCAGGTTGGGCTGAGACGTTGATGCAGCTTTGGCACTTCCTCAGTTCCATGCCCTTCGGTATGAAGGAGTCTCCGCCACGGAAGAAGCCTTTCCAGAAAAGCTTCGTGCCACTGAGTCTGGGGAATGTGAGAAGAAATTCCATGATCTGAACATGAACTCTATGTGCAGAACAGCTCTGTGTATCTGTATATACAGGAACACGCAGATCTTCATGCCGTTTGTTGCGTAAGCATGCAGACGCACACACACACACACACACAAACACGCATACGTATGTGCATGTATGCATGCATCCATGCATGTATGCATGCAAAGGAGCAAGAGAGAGCGAGACATACATACATACATACATACATACATACATACATACATACATACATGCATACATACATACATACATACATGCACACACCTACAAAAAGTATATCGTGCGTATACTATGGCCCGCAGGCATAGCTTCATCTTGCGCCAAGGCAGCGTGGAGATGACACCGTTGGAATCATCCCGCTGTCCTGCGTGACGTACTTCACGTCCTGGGTAGGGTTTAGAGTTCAGGGGCTGCTTGCAGTGGAAGACTTTTCTTGGCTGTTTAGGGCATCGGGATCGTTGGGTTTAGGGCGTCCGGACTTTTGGGTTTCGTGCAGTGTTGGCCGCCTCAGGGTTTGGGGCTCTTCGGGGCCGAAGATTTGAGGGCTGCCAGGAGACTCCATATATATATATATATATTTAATATATTAATATATATATATATATACATATATATATATACATATACATTAATATATACATATATATATATATATTGCGTGAGGGTTTGGTATCGTTGGTACGCTATATGCTCACCTCACCGAGCGTGTTGTTGATATAGTTGTGGTATTGCCAATGCAGAACTCACACGCGCAATTGTGCACAATGTAGAGCGGCGCACCCTTCCTTTTCTCACTCGCCTTGG